CATGATACATTTCACAATTATAAGTTAAGCTTTAATTAATCTCCCTTTACCAACCAAGTTGAAAGAATCAAAAGAATAGCTGAATATACATATATTCCTAAATGCATCAAATGTTTGGCTCCTAGGCTTATGTGACAGAGTATGTAAACTCTCCCTTTATTACTGGACCTGGCTGGGGAACACATCATGTGCCACTTACATGTTAGATGTTACCTGAACCAGATGTGAATCTCAGCCACTGTCTCCATGGAAGCCATAGCCGTTACAATCCCAGCAGATAATCCTCCATGTCATGCCCCGCTCCGTCCACTCCTAGTGTGTGCCACGCCCCCTCATTATCCACGTGTGCTTTCCTGATTGTGCCCAGCTGTTGCCTGTTCCGTTTGCCTAGTCTTGTGTATTTAGTCCGTGTCTCAGTCGGTGTACCCCAGATCGGTCATTGACGTGTGTTCGTTGTGCTTTCCCCAGTCCTGTCCTCCGAATAAACCCCTGTGTTATTCGACTTCCTGGTCAGCTTGTCTGCTTTCCTGCTCGCCTGCTGCACTGAACGTGACACTCCATTTGTGCAAACTTTGCCTCGCTGGGAAGAATCATCATCATACTTCTGTGCTTCATCATGGAGACTAGAACAGCTGCAGTATTTATTTACTTTTTGTACAGCCTTGTTTTTTATGTCATAAGCATGAAGCTGTAATGGAGCCAACTTAGATACCAGTGCCGCCAGGCTGAGCTTCCAGTGAGACCAGTGACAAGATGGTTATGGAAGAGCCATATGACACACCATGGAACTAATATCAGCAAAGCTATTCAAATAAATGACACTGAGATGAGTTATTATATTATATTAGGGGGGGCACCTCCTGCCCCCCCATTAAGGTGAAGTTAATTTTATTTAATTTTATTTTCTATATAGTGCCAGATCACAACAGAAGTCATTTAAGGTTACCTTTCCTATAGAACAGGTCTATACATTGTCCTTTTATTAAACAAACTAAATAGCCTTATGTTATTTATCTTATTTACACAACAGCTTGCCATTTTTGTCTCTACACGGTCGCACGTTTACAGTACCATTCTCCTCCGCTCTCTGTATCGCGCATGGCGGAGTTCCGCCCCGATGCGCGCGCACAGACACATGCGTGCACACACAGGTGAGCACACTCCCACCAGCGGACAGAGAGCGCGTGTCGGAAAATATGTCGTGTCAATCACCTGAAAAGCAGACAAAAATATCTAGGGTGGGGAAGATGACAACAGCCGCTCTCCTGTGAGTAGCAGAAATGTTCTGATGTTTAGTTCAGTTGTTATATTGACTGCTGTCATTAAAAGAAACACATGAACACCATGAATCCTCTGTCTATCCCCCTCACCCCCCAAAAGTTGTAAGCCTAGGGGATACACAGTAGTGTAATGGGAACCAACTGCAATATACAACAGCAGAGCATCCAGTACAACAAGCAGTGCCTCTCTGTTTCTACAAGATCTGGTCATTCATTCGGCTACGATCGACGGGAGCTATAGGGAAGGTCTGTTTATTTGCAGTTCAGCCAAAGGGGCTGTTCGTGTGAACCTTTTCCCCCTTTTGTTTTGCTGTGCTCCAGAGATTATACTTGGCATTCTCTATAGCTGGAGAACTTCCAAGGACATTTGTTAACATTTCCAAGTCAATATTAATTGCCCAATTGTTTCCCTGAACTCTGAAGGCAAGATTTACAAGAGAAGCTTCCATTGTTTTTGAAAACACTAGAGAAACAAGCAGGTGACAAATTTTAAACTTGAATGGCAGAAATATCCTGCACAGATCTTCATCCATTAAATGCCTACACCCCTGAAAATGCATTAATGTAGCCTTTAGAAGTTGTGGACTTAAGGCAGTATTTATTAGCAAAAAAGTGGTCTGGGAAGAGACAAACCCTAAATGAAAATCATGGTATTGATTTAGTGAGTAATTACACATCAAGCCTGTCAGTAAAAACACACCTCTTCCACAGGCATTCTGAAAACAGAGATGTTCCGCTTTTCTACAATGGAACTATCAGGCTACACTTAGGATAACGTGGACATCTACAACATTATTCTTTAAGCATCTCAGGGAGACCCAGCATTTGTACAAGGCTTCTGATCCCTTTCCTATTAGAAGGTCGAGGTGGGTTCATTCCCTGAGACTCACGAGTCTCATTCATCAATAGCATTTTTGTTTTTGTGATGAGGGCCCAATTTCATGCATCGGTGACTGGGGGCGAGCTACAAGGGCTTTCTTTCTTGCTGTTCTGGCATCGACAATCATCTGACCTCCACGTTTGCTCTGCCCGCCCTATTGTCCGCGCTCCGAGAATTGTCAATGGAACAGAACGGGCCAAAAAACGAAGCGTGGGGTTATTGGCCCAGTGAAGGCAGGGAGGTGCGTCTCTGACATACAATGACAGTCCAGAGTTGCAGACCTGGGAGCCCATAAACCTTGTGGCCAAGCTGACACTGCAATCAGGCTTAGCAGCAATCAGTTGCTAATCAGTGCCTAGCCCTCAGGAAGCATCATACACCGGACAGGCCAATGAGCTGAAGAGTGAGGCTAAGGAACACAGAGCAGGCCAATGAGCTGAAGAGTGAGGCTAAGGAACACAGAGCAGGCCAATG